AAATAGGAAAAAAATGGGTTCCGAACAGAAGTTGACCAACATTTATTGTCTCCAAATTGTGTTTTTTTTAAATCAAAAAGACTCTTGCAGTTTGCTTTCTGTGTGTATAACGGTGTTTGCACACTTTTAACAACCGCCAACTCAACACCCTACTAGACAGGGTTTCTCAACCTTGATAATTTTTAAGACACGTGGACTTCAACTCCCAGAATTCCCCAGCCAGCATGCGTTAAGATGGGCGGACTTCAACTCCCAGAATTTGATGCTGGCTGGGGAATTCTGGGAGTTGAAGTCCACCTGTCTTAAAGTTGCAAAAGTCGAGGAACGCAGTTTCCACAGCACTGTGAGTAACGAACAGGTACAAAATCCAGCTATTATTCATATATGCAGATTCTTTTTTTAACGAGCAATATTGATTAATTAGATTAATAGATTAATATTTTTTTCATCAATGGAGCAACTGATAGAAGATTGCCAGGCCCTGAACCAGGGATTTCCCCACTCCGTTGCGAATTCTGTACTTATACATGCCTGGAATCTAAGAGCCAGAAGGGAGCCAGGGGTCATCTAGTCCAACCCCTGCCCTGGTTGCAGGACCCGACTGCCGTCTCTCTCCCCGATGCATGGCGAAGCTTTGAAAGCTGCCGAGGGCCGTCAGCTCGGACGGTTTGAAGCCGTCTTTCTCAACCTTTGCACCTTTTCAGACTCCCAGAATTCCATGCTGGCTGGGGAATTCTGGGAGTCGAAGTCCGCACAGCTTCAAAGGGCTACGGTGGAGAAGCGCTTCTTTAAAGCAGTGTTTCCCAACCTTTCTGGATTGGCGGCCTGGAGGGGGCAGGGGGCTGGCACGCAAATGAGACCGAGAGCAGCGGTGACATTCGCACCATGTCCCCAGCGCTCGTATGAGTAGGGCCGCCAGTCCCCGTGACACTTCCTCAAGTGGGGTCCCCGAATGCCCACGGGCGTTCAAGCAAGCGGGGCCCCGAGTGCCCACGACACTTGCGCCGCAGCCCGCAGGTTGGGGACCCCTGTATCAAAGAGACAAATCGATAGAGAAGCGGACTCTCTAGCATTCCCAGTCTCGATGGCCCTTTGCAACCAGGAGACCCCTCAATGGCAACAGCGGGGGGACCCGGGAACCAGAGCAGTGATAAACTAAGGAGAAGCACTGTCGCTAAACGAATTTTTGTAAGCTGAGGACTAGCTCTAGACTAGACTCTTATTTATGATGGTCGCGGCGTCCCGGGGTCACGTGATCAAAATTCAGACGCTCGTCAACCGACTCGTATTTATGACGGTCGCAGTTTCCTGGGGTCACATGTTCAAAATTCAGACGCTCGTCAACCGACTCGTATTTATGACGGTCGCAGCGTCCCGGGGTCACGTGATCAAAATTCAGACGCTTGTCAATTGACTTGTATTTGTGATGGTCGCAGCATCCCGGGGTCAGGTGATCAAAATTCAGACGTTTGGCAACCGACTCACATTTATGACGGTCGCAGCATCCCAGGATCACGTGATCAAAATTCAGATGCTTGCCAATCAACTTGTATGTATGATGGTCGCTGCGTCCCCAGGTCAGGTGATCAAAATACAGATGCTGGGCAACCGACTCGTATTTATGACGTTGCAGCATCCCTGGGTCACGTGCTCAAAATTTAGACGCTTGGCAACCGACTCGTATTTATGACGGTTGCAGCGTCCCGGGATCACGTGGTCAAAATTCAGACGCTTGACAACCGACTCGTATTTATGACGGTTGCAGCTACCCGGGGTCATGTGATCAAAATTCAGATGTTTGGCAACCGACTCGTATTCATGACGGTTGCTCACATGACCCTGGGACACCTTATTCGCTTAACAACTGTTGTTACTAACTTGAGAATTGCATTGAGTCACTGCAAGAAAGGTCGTAAAATGGGGCAACGTTCACTTAATGTTTCACTTAATAACCGAAATTGGGGTCGAGGACGACTGTGTATTTGTGAGATTTGATGCTTCTCCCGCTTGTCAAAGCAAGTCAGAAAGTGTCGTTAAAAAACCCGGAAAGCTAATTGTTCAAAGCGGGAAAGTTACAAATTCTTGACATACTATTCTAATCCAATGTAATACATACAGGTAGTCCTTGACTTACGACTCACAACATGTGTCTACCTGACCATCGCAACATCTTTAGCGATCACAATTTGGGCACCGGGCAACCGGCTGGCATTTAAGGAAAGACTGCCCAAGTTGTGACCTTTTGTGTGAATTTTAGGCCAGAAATATCCGGATTCACTGAATGACTACACTGATTGGCTTAATGACTGGACTCGCTTCACGACGGCAGGGATTCGCTGAAGGACCGCCGTAAAAATGGTGGTAAAGTCGGGTCTGACTCCACTTCCCGCTTATGATGGAAATTGGGGTCTCAATTTGAGGTGGTAAATCGTACTCCGTAAATCGAGGACGTTTTGCATCTCCTCGAGGGTGGGAAAAAATAATAATAAGATGGGCTTGTTTGTTAGAAAACACACAGACACACACATACACGAGACAAACGCACCCAACACAAGAGCCGAGCCAGCGGGTGATTTTTCTTTTTAATCCCCATTTATTAGCTTTAATCTAGGTCGTAAAAAGGGTGCAGGACAAGTAACAAGCACTGGCCTATCCGAGCATCGAGAGTCACAGATACGTTTGAGGATATTCCCAGCAGCCCTTGGGGCTCAAAACGGAGTCCCGGTTCAAACGGCGGAGTGCCGCTTCTCCTGAAACGGTTGCCGCTTCGAGTCCGAAATTGGGTGTGCAAGGCAGGACACCCCGTTTCTGGAGGAGAGGGGGAGCAGAGGTGCCGAGAGATGGGATCCTGCTCCTAACTTCCCAACCTCCCCTCTCTCCGCCAGATTTGCATGGAAATCCTGGTTAGGCGCCCAAGCCAGGATGGCGGCATCAAGGATAACAGGGCAGCCAGCCTCGTTCTGGACGAGAGAACGAGGTCGTTTCTGAAGACCGAGAGATCAAGCTCCTCTTTCTACCCAAGTCCCCTCCCTCATTAAGGGGGTGGTCCCAACTGAGGCAGTGGAGTCCGAACTCCTTCAATCCACACCCACATTTCTGATGTCACGCATCTGCCACGTAGTGCAGGGGTCACTATCGGGAGATACGGGTGCCGTGCATCCCGGATGTGAGGCCTGGCGGGCTCAAGGAAGCCGAGGAACGGGCATGCAAGAGGATCCGCGAGAGCCAGGGTAACAGGCTCGCGAGAATGGTAAGTAACCTCAACACCCTTATTTTCAGAGGAGGGGGCTTCCAGGGCACTGAACTGGAACTCGGTTCCTGGGGAAACATAACCAGTTCCAGAAAGCTAGTTATGACCCCAGGCGCAGCGACGTCTACGTGTTTCTCCTGGTTGCACAATCCTGGCGCGAGCCCGAGGCTTCCTCACCAGGACGAGGAATTCGGGGAACAAAATACGAAGCATCTCCCCCCCCGAATCAAACAGGAGCATGATCGTCTTCCGAACGCTGCCATAAACCTATCCTCTGACAATGTGGGGTGGGGGAGGAGCGATCCCCCTCGTTCTCGTATCCCGACGTTAGGTTCGCCTCGCCTCGCCATCTCGAGCGCCTTGAGGGCGCTGCCAGCTGCCCATTCTCGAACGAGCGGACAAAATCCGTCCTCGGGCGCGAGGTCGGCGCAGCGAGGTGCACGCACAGGGGTAAACCAGGATCATTCGCCGCAATGTCCTCGGAGGTCTCCGGACGTGCGACCGAGCATCTGTCACACAGTCCTCGGAGGTCTCCGGGCGTGCGACTGGCTTGCAGGAAGATACGGGGGGGCGCTGCGTCTCCCACCATGGTGATGTGGCGCCAACCATCAGCGAGCCGAGCCCCGGGAACCTTCTGGGATGAGAGTGGCGTCACAAGGGATAAATAGAACTTTATTTAAATAAACATATCTCAACATCTTTGTACAAATTACAAGTCCCCAGGTCCAGAATCCTAGGCGCCAAAGTTGGCCGAAGGGCCTTTCAGCAGGTCCACCAGGATGTCCAAGAGCTGGCTGTGTTGGTGGTGGAGGTCCCCAGGAATGGCCGCCATCTCGTAACAGAGGCAGGTCTCCACCATCCGGGACAGCGCCACCCGGAAGTCGCGGAGGAGCCGTATGGTGTACGAGTCGCCTTCCAGCACCAGTAGGTCACTGTCGACCAAGGAAATGGTGGCCCGCCAGCCGTCGTCTTGGGAAGAAAGGACAAAGAGAGGTGAAGCGGCAGTTCTTGAGGAGAATTCTTATACATTAATTGATTTTTTTGTTAAAAAATGTTATCGACTTACGACAGCTCCTTTAGCGACCGTCCCACGCTAGAACGGCACTGGAAAAAGGGATTTAGGACCGTTTTTCACACTTACAATCGATGCAGCATCCCCAGGATCATGTGATCAAACTTCAGATGCTTGGCAACCGACTCGTATTTATGTCGGTCGCAGTGTCCTTGGGGTCACGGGACCAAAATTCAGACGCTTGGCAACCGACTCGTATTTATGACGGTCGCACTGTCTTGGGATCAAAATTCAGATGCTTGGCAACCGACTCATATTTATCACGGTCTCAATGTCCCGGATCAAAATTGAGACGCTTGGCATCTGACTCGTATTTATGACGGCCGCAGTGTCCCGGGGTCACGTGATCAAAATTGAGACGCTTGGCAACCGACTCGCATTTATGACGGTCGCAGTGTCCTGGGGTCACGGGACCAAAATTCAGACGCTTGGCAAACGACTCGTATTTATGACGGTCGCAGTGTCCCGGGATCAAAATTCAGACACTTGTTGCCGACTCGTATTTACGGTTGCTGACTCGTACTTATGACAGTTGCAGTGTCCTAGGATGACGTAATCAAACTTCAGACGCTTGGCAACCGACTCATATTTGTGACGGTCGGAATGTCCCAGGATTATGTGATTCAAATTCAAATGCTTGGCAACCGACTCACATTTATGACGGTTGCAGTGTGCCGGGGTCACGTGATCCCGTTTTGCGACTTTCTGAGAAGCAACATCAATGGGGTTCGCCTAACCACCGTGTTACTAACTTGACAACTGCAGTGATTCACTTAAAAACCGTAGGAGGGAAGGTCGTAAAATGGGGCAAAAACTGACCTAACAAAAAAGCATTTTCTGACACACGTGGGCAGCTGGCGGGAGCCTGCAAAGCCTGAACCATGTCTAATGGAATGTACAGGTAGTCCTTGACGTACATCACGGCCCAAAATTCCCGTTGCTAATTCGAGACATTTGTTAACCGAGTTTTACCATTTTACGACCGTTTCCTGCGGTGAAGTGAGTCAAAGGGTGGTTACAATGAATCCGACTTCCCTGTCGAAAGTCCCAAAAGGGGATCATGTGACCCCGGGACATTGCGACCGTCGTAAACGTTAGCCACTTGCCAAGTGTCTAAATTTTGATCTCGTGACCAACGGCTGTTGAGGGTGAAAAACGGTCACAAGTCCCGTTTTTTTCAGTCCCGTTTGTAACTTCAGTCAGTAAACAAACTGTTGTAAGTGGAGGAGTACCTGTAGGTAGGAAAGACCGAGGAAGCTCACCGAGAGGGAGTGATTAAAACATTATTTGGGGGACAGAGAGGGGAGAGAATCAACTGTCTGCGACCGGGGGGGAGGGAGGCCAGGGGCTCCCAACATATTGGCCACTGGGCTGTGTGAAAGGCTCGCCGATATGGACGTATGCGCGTGCATGCACAGCCCCACTTGCCGAAGCGTTGATGTGAGCGTCGCAGGCATCTGTGGCCCCATTTTCACAAGCGTCGTTGTGACTGTGGCGGGTGTTTGTGGCACCATTTTCCTGAGCGTCGCTGCGAGTGCTCACGTGAGCAATGGGTGTTTGTGCCCGTGTGAGCACATGTGTTCAACCCCCCTCTCCACAAAACAATCCCTTCTTAACCCCCGTTCCCCCGCATGCTCTGGGCCACAAACCCCAAAAAGGTTGGGAAGCTCTGTTCTAGGCAACAGCGCGGGACATGAGCCGAGAGACAGAGATCCGATTCCTCACCCCGCACGTAGACATCCGTATCGGTCATCAGCAGCACCGCCAGCGGATGTACTTGCGAGGAGTCCCGCACGAAGACGCCCCCGTTGGACTTGACCGCCATGAAGTAGGTCAGCCAACGGCTGTACAGCTTGGAGGACTCCCTGCGGAGGAGAAAGCGAGGGATATCGCATGCGTCGGCTCGTGCCTATCTGGCGAACAAATTGGCGCCCCAGGAGGGACCTACCTGTTGATGGTGGATTTGTGCAAAAGGACGGTCCCCGCTTTGGTCCGGTATGTATAGCTGTTCGGTTTGAACTTGCCCTGTCTGGTCACCTTCCCTTGCCGGACCTGCGGAGATAAAAAGGACATATACTGACGGCGGTTCAATAATACGACACTGACAGCTGTCCGCGGGAACTAATCAAGGGGAGAAGCAACCTGGAATTAAGGAGACATTTCCTGACAGTGAGGACAATTAACCAGTGAAACGGCTTGTCACAGGGAGTTGTGGGTGCTTCATCACTGGGGATTTCTAAGAAGAGACTGGACAGTCACTCGTCTGATATGCTACAGGGTCTCCTGCTTGAGCAGGGGGCTGGACTAGATGACCTCCAAGGTCCCTTGCAGCCCTATAAGGCAGGAAGGCAGGAAATAGAGTGGGATAGATGGATACAAGGGAGGAAGGGAGGGATGGAGAGAGGGAGGGAAGACAGGAAGAAGGAAACAAGACAGGAAGGAAGGAAGGAAGGGGGGTAGGAAGAATGGAAGAAAGGAAGGAAGGAAGGAAGGAAGGAAGGAAGGAAGGAAGGAAGGGGGATAGGAAGGATGGAAGAAGGGATGGATGGATGGATGATTGGAAGGAAACAAGGAAGGAATGAGAGGAAAAGGAGTGGGAAGGATGGAAGAAAGGATGGATGGATGGATGGATGGATGGATGGATGGAAGGAAGGAAGGAAGGAAGGAAGGGGGTCCACCTATTCTCCAAAGCACCAGAAGGCAGCACAAGAAACAGCGGAGGGAAACCGATCAAGGAGAGGTGCAACCTGGAATTAAGGAGAAGCTTCCTGACACTGAGGACAATTAACCAGTGGAACAGCTTGCCACAGGAAGTTGTAGATCCTACACCACTGGAGGTTTTTAAGAAGAGAAAATGGACAGCCACTTGTCTGAAATGGTATAGGATCTTCTGCTTGAGCAGGGGGTTGGACTAGAAGACCTCCAAGGTCCCTTCCAACTACTACTACTACTACTACTACTATTACTACTACTACTACTTCTTCTTCTTCTTCTTCTTCTTCTTCTTCTTCTTCTTCTTCTTCTTCTTCTTCTTCTTTCTTCTTCTTCTTCTTCTTCTTCTTCTTCTTCTTCTTCTTCTTCTTCTTCTTCTTCTTCTTCTTCTTCTTCTTCTTCATCATCATTATTATTATTGATCATCGCACAATCAGCCAGATGTTCAGACTGGATTTGGCATTTTTGTCTACCTATCGAGTCCTTACCGAGGACCTGGGATGGGCAGATGTGGATGTTTGATGGTATTACAGATCTCGTCGCAGGATGGAAGCGGTACCTAGTAAGGTCGCCTTTTGCAATTGACTGATGGCGAATTTGTCAATGCCGATGATGGTGTCCAAGTGGTGCTCCAACTGTTTTGGGATGGCACCCAAGGCGCCTATTACTATTGGTACTACCCCTTCCTTGCTTTTGCTCTAAGGGAAAAGTGAAAGAGACCCCTCCCTTCCTTATTTCCCAACATTCCTCGGGATCTCCTAAGGCACCCTGTTAGATACAGCATTCCATGAGGTGGAAACCCATGTGCTGGACTCTCTCCACAAACTGCCCTCCCTTCTGGCACTGATGACGTTCCCTAGTTGGGTCATGAAACGTCTGCAAGGAAACCACCCAGCTCGGAGAGCACCAAGGAGCCCAGAAGTGTCCCACAACCTCTCTCTCTCTCTCTCTCTCACACACACACACACACCTGGATGAGGTTGGGGTACAGCCCGGCCATCAGGACCCCCTTCACCAGTTCCTCCTCCTCACTGTACTGGTTGCACACCGAGGACGGCAAGAGGCAATCCGAAGGCGTCGGGACCAGGTAGGCTTCGTAGAGGTTTTCGGAAAACTGCTTCACCAGGCCTGCGGGAGGGGTACAGAGAGAGAGAGAGTGGACTTTAACTCCCAGAATTCCCCAGCGAGCATATCGTCAATACAGGCTGGTTGCCAAAGACAGGGGAAGTCCTCGAATTACAACCGTTTGCTTAGCGACCGTTCAAAGTTGGAACGGCCCTCAAAGACGGGGACTTCGGACCGTTTTTCACACTGAGTGTGCTAGCATGCCCAGAATCCCATGATCAAAATCCAGACGCTTGGCAACCGACTCATCTTTACAATGGTCGCAGCATCCCGGGGTCCCATGATCAAAATTCAGACACTTGGAAACCGACTCATATTTTACGATTGTTGCAGTGTCCCGGGTGACACTGTGATCCTCGTTGGCGACTTTCTGACGAGCAAAGTCAACGGGGCAAGCCGGATGCACCCAGCAACCGTGGGACTAATTTAACCACTTCAGTGACTCACTTAACGACGGGGGTAAGGACGGTCGTAAAATGGAGCAACCCCCCGAACAACTGTCTCGTTTAGCAGCGGAAACGCGGGGTTAATTTTGGTCATGAAGCCGAGGATTAGCTCTAGCCAGATTTTGATGACACGACGGTCATAAGGCCGAGGACTTGTCATAAGTCACTTTTGTCTGCCTCCTTAAGAATTGCTTCTTTCTCTCTTTCCCTCTGTTCTTTTTCCCAATATAATTGAGGGCCAGCTGTATTTATTAATTAAACAAATTTATATAGCCTCCCACCTTAAGGAAAGTGACTTTCGGTGGATTACAACGAACCGGGCGAAACAGTGAATAAACGAGACATTCATTAGTTAACGTGGTTATATCGTCGTTATTAAAAATGAGTTTAAAATGATAAAAGGGGAAAAAAGGAGAAAAGACGGAGAGGTGGTGACGCCGCTCCGAGGATCGTGCTACTCACCGTTGATAAAGCGCAAACTCGGGGCGTAGAGCGAATAATCCTGCAGATAGTCGTCACGCGCACGGCTGTCTCTGCGCCGCAGGATGTCTTCCCAGCCCGCCACAGCCCGCACGAACGCCAGGTGATCGCTGCCGCTCTCTCGACTCAGAACGGCCTTGGCCTAAGGGGGAAACCATTGCAAGAAAAGACAGAATAACCAAAGGGACCTTGGAGGTCTTCTAGTCCAACCTTTTGCGACTGACTGACGCTCACAGTGATCAGAGAGCACAAGTGTGGGGCTGCGAACACCCACAATGCTCGTGCGAATGGGACCGCGAAAGCCCATGACGGTCACAGTTACCCTCGCAGGAGTGGGGCTGCGAACGCCTGTGAAATCCGTGGCAATGCTCGCGAGAGTGGGCCCACGAGCACCCACAACTCATTCTAGCAGGGTCACAAATGCCCACGAGAAATGCTGTGAATGCCCAGGACACCCGTGGCGACGCTCCTGCGAGAGGGGCCGTGAACGCCCACAACGCTCGCGCGAGTGTGGACACAAATATCTGCGACAGTCCCACGAGTGGGGCCAAAAACATCCGTGATGCTAGTGATGATGCTCAAGCGAGTGGGGCCGTGAACACCCACGAAGCTCGTGCTAATGGAGCTGCAAACACCCATGAAGGTTGCGGCGACGCTTGTACGAGTGAGAGTGCGAATGCCCGTGATGCGGCAACGCTCGCATGAGTCGGGACACAAACATCCACGACGCTTGCGCAAATAGGGCCACAAATCTCCGTGATATGGTGACGTTTATGCAAGTGGGGCCACAAACACCCGTGACACTCATGTTGCACGAGTGGGACCATGAACAGCTATGATGCTCGTGCAAGCAGGGCTGTGAACGCCCATGACGCTCAAACAAGTGCGGCCAGAAATGTCTCTCACACTTGCAGCGACACTCGCGCAAGCGACGCGGCGAACACGAGCAAAGCATGCCTGAGTGGGGCTCTGCGCACGTGGGCACATCAGCCAGCCACGTGCTCGACCTGGTGGCCGGTAGGCAGTGGACTAGGAGTGGATTGTGGCCCACGGATTGGGGACCCCTGTTGTAGTTCAACTGCAGGACGGTGGGGGAGACGCAGCCAGTTCGGTCGCCGGCCGCGCTCGAGACGAGAACCCTGCGGGCTCCTCACCTTGTCCACCTCCGTACGGTTCTGCAGGCTGCTGCTGAAGGGGTCCCGGGTGAGGCAGGAGACAATGAGGAGGAGTGGCTGGATACAGCGGTAGATGGAGGCCAGCACGATGGCCTTGGCCAGCCGGGGGTCGGTGGAGATCTGGGCCAGGCGCTTGCCCAGCGTGGTCAAAGCCTCTCGGTGGTCCAGCACTCCTGGAAGGGACTCGGCGTGAGCGAACGGAGAGGTGGAAAGAGAACAGACACCCGTCGGCCGTTTTCACCCCGGAACTCACCGATCTCCTGCAGCAGGATGACGGCCTCGTCCACCGCTTTGATGTCGGGGCTGTCCAGGGCTTTGGAGAGGAACTCGACGGCCTGCAAGCCAAAACCAGGGGCAATTCAATTCCCTTCGGAGCTGGAAGGGACCTCGGAGGTCTTCTAGTCCAACCCCCGGCTCAAGATCCTTACAGAATCATGGAAGGGTAGAGGCGGGAGGGTCCTTGGAGGTCATTTAGTCCAACCCCCTGCTCAGGCAGGAGGACCCTTAACAGAATCAAAGAATGACAAGAGATGGAAGGGACCTCGGAGGTCATCCAGTCCAACCCTCTGCTCAAGCAGGAGACCATGTCAGACCAGCGGCCGTCCGGCCTCTTCTGAAAAGCCTCCAGGGATGGGGCAACCTCCACTGGATGTCATCCCATGATTCTGGAAGGGTCTCCTGCTTGAGCAGGGGGTTGGACTGGATGACCTCCAAGGTGCCTTCCAACTCTGTCATCCTATGATTCTGTAAGACTCTCCTCCTGGAGCAGGGGGTTGGACTAGATGACCTCCAAGATCCCTTCCAATATGATTGTGTAAGGATCTCTTGCTTGAGCAGGGGGTTGGGCTACCTCCAAGATCCCTTCTAATATGATTGTAAGGATCTCCTGCTTGAGCATGGGGTTGGACTAGATGACCTCCAAGGTCCCTTCCAACTTTGTCATCCCATGCTTCTGCAAGGGTCTCCTGCTTGAGCAGGGGGTTGGACTGGATGACCTCCAGGGCCCCTTCCAACTCTCATCCTGTGATTCTGTATGGCTCTCCTCCTTGAGCAGGGGGTTGGACTAGATGACCTCCAGAATCCTTTCCAATATGATTCTCTCTCGAGCAGGGGGTTGGACTAGATGACCTCCAGGGTCCCTTCCAACTCTATTCTTCTATGACTGTGTAAGGGTCTCCTGCTTGTGTGTGTGTGGGGGTCAGACTAGAAGACCTCCCGGGCCCCTCCCAACTCTGTCATTCCACGATTCTGTAAGGGTCCCCTGCTCGAGCAAGGGGGTCAGCCTAGATGACCTCCCGAGGTCCCTCCCAACTCTGTCCGTCTGTAATTCCGTTAAGGCTTTTGTGCTGTGAGCAGACACTAGTAAGGTACGCCTGGCGTTAAGCGACTCTTAAAATATCAGAAACCCCCCCCCCATCCCCTCCTGGTGCCATTCCCACGTTCCGCGGTCTCGGCGGACAGCTCACCGTCTTCTCCGGCTGGTGGATCTTGGTTTGGACTACCAGGTTCTCCAGCGGCGTGCGTAGGATCTCGGGCACCTGGTAGGTGGGCATGCGTTCCAGTCGGCTGCGAGGGAAGAGGTGGTAGGCGAAGCCCGACTGGCAGCGTCCGGCTCGGCCGCGTCGTTGGATGACGTTCGACTTGGACACCCAGACGGTCTCCAAGCACGAAACCTGGGCGAAGGGGAAGACGGATGGAAAACGAAATCGACCCGGAACGAAGGAAGAAGCGAGGACGATTAACCAGGGGAACTGCTGGCCACCAGACGTGGTGGGTGCTCCATCACTGGAGGGTTTTTTTTTTTAAGGAAGAGACTGGATATCTGTTTGTCTCCTGCTCGAGCAGGGGGATGGACTGGAAGATCTCCTGGGTCCCTTCCCGCTTTATTCGGATTGAGCGTTGGTTTCTGGGGTTGGCTTCAGATAATCAAGCACCCTTCAGGCCTTAAACCGAATCCTAGCCCTAAACCTAGTCTTAGGCATAACCCGTAAACCTAACCCTAGCCGTAGCGTTAACCCTAATCCTAAACTTAAACCTAACCCTAACCCCAGTCCTAATGCATAACTTTAACCGAACCCCTAGCCCTAATTCGTATCTTAAACCTAATCTTAGTCCTAGCCTTAGCCCTAATTCATAACTCTAACCCAAACCCTAGTCCTAATTCTAACCCTAACCCTAGTCCTAACCTTAAACCTAACCCTAACCCTAACCTTAGTCTTTAACCCTAACCCTAACCTTAAACTTAACCCTAACCCTAGTCCTAACTCTGACCCTAACCCTAGTCTTAACCGTAATCTTAAACCTAACCCTAACCTGAAACCTAACTGTAACCCTAACCCCTAACCCTAACTCTAACCTTAAACCTAACCCTAACCTTAGTCTTTTCTCTAACCCGAATCCTAACCTGAAATCTAACCCTAACCCTAGTCCTAAACCCTAACCTTAAACCTAATCCTAATTCTAGTCCTAACTCTAACCTTAAACCTAACCCTAACCCTAGTCCTAAACCCTAACCCTAGTCCTAAATCCTAATCCTAGTCCTAACTCTAACCCTAACCTTAAACCTAATCCTAACTCTAGTCCTAACTCTAACCTTAAACCTAACTCTAACCTTAGTCTTTTCTCTTACCCTAATCCTAACCTGAAACCTAACCCTAACCCTAGTCCTAAACCCTAATCCTAGTCCTAACTCTAACCCTAACCCTAATCTAACCCTAGTCCTAACTCTAACCCGAAACCTAACCTTAGTCCTATCTCTAACCCTAACCCTAAATATAACCCTAGTCCTAACACTAACCCCAACCGTAACCGAAACCTAACCCTAACTCTAACCCTAACCTTAAACCTAACCCTAGCTTAACTTGAGCCCTAATGTTCACCCTAGCCCCAACCCGTACCCTTAAATCTAATCCTAACTCTAGTCCTAATTCTATCCCTAATTTTAAACCTACCCCTACCCCTCATCCTAACCCTAGCTGGAGACGTCACAAGCGGGAGGAAGCAAGCTAGTCCGCCCTCTCTCCCCCACCCCCTGGGGCTCTCCGAAAAGAGCCAGGAAGCCCCCCCGAAGGAGAAGGAGCCCCCCCGCATCCTTAACCCTGGTTCTTCAGGCTCAAACCTTGGTCTTCAGATCGTAGCGCTCCTCCTTGTGGGTCCCGCTGTCCACCACGTGGACGATGTCGTTGATGGTGATGGAGGTTTCGGCGATGTTGGTGGCCAGGACGATTTTCCGGACCCCGGCGGGAGGCCGGGGGAAGATGCTCTGCTGGTCCATCATGGGGATGTTGGAATGAACTAAACGGGGGTGGGAGGGGAAGAGGAGGAAGAGGAAGAAAAATCTCAGCTTTTAGGCTTCTTGTCTTCCCCACCTTCTCCGGAGTGGCGTCGTAGCGCTCACCAACGTATCGACCGGGAAAAAAACGCCCGTTTCCGGATAGGCGTTGTGGCGCTCGCCGTTTCGACCGAAAAAAACCCACCCGTTTCCGGATAGGCGTTGTGGCGCTCGCCAACTTTTCGACCAGAAAAAGAAACGCCCCTTTCTGGATAGAACGGCCGAAATCGTTCCCGCCGGCCTTGGCTCCCAGCCTGCCCCGGAGAGCAACGGACGGCGTATTAGTTTCACCTGGTAAGATAAGGTAGCGGCTGTTGTGGGACCCGAGGATTTCCAAAAGACGCTGCTGGACCCCTTTAATCTCCTGCCAGCCGGGAAGGAAACAGAGGATGCCGCCTGGAAAGAGAGAGAGGGGGGAAAAAACGGGACGTCCCGTTTCATAAAAGTGGGATTTGAGGGGGGGGGNGAGGAAGGAAAAGAGGGACGGAGGCAGGAAGGAAGAAAAAGAGGGGAGGGAGGGAGACAGGAAGGAAAAGAGGGACGAAGGAAGTAAAAGGGGGAAGGGAGGAAGGAAAAGAGGGAAGGAGGCAGGAAGGAAGAAAATGAGGGGAGGGAGGGAGACAGGAAGAAAGGAAGGAAGGAGGGAAGGAAAAGAGGGACGAAGGAAGTAAAAGGGGGGAGGAAGGGAGGGAGGGAGGAAGGAAGGAGGAAGGAAAAGAGGGACGGAGGCAGGAAGGAAGAAAAAGAGGGGAGGGAGGGAGACAGGAAGAAAGGAAGGAAGCAAGGGAGGAAGGAAGGGAAAAAAAGAGGGGAGGGAGGGAGGAATGACCAGAGGGGGAAGGAGGGAGAGAGGAAGGAAAGAGGCAGGGAGGGAGAGAGGAAAAAAAGGAGTGAGGGAGACAGGAAGAAAGGAAAAGAGGGACGAAGGAAGAAAAAGAGAGGGAGGGAGGGAGGAAATCAAAGCCCGCAGGTTCATCAAAATGGCCGACTGAGGAATCATGGGAGTTGAAGTCCGCCAGTCAGGAAAGGGCCAAGTTGGAAGACCCCTGAGAGTCTGGATCCAAGCCCGCAGTTTCATCAAAATGGCCGACTGAGGAATTCTGGGAGTTAAAGTCCACCAGTCATAAAAGGGCCAAGTTGGAAGACCCCTTGGCTGAATTAACCGTCATCGGTTAATTCCCCCACCCCAAAGCAAAGCGAGCCTCCACCGCCCGGCAAAACCCGGTTGGATCCACTTCTACGGCCAACCCAACGAGCTTGAGCGGCACGTGGGGGGGGTGGAGACAGAGGGACTCCCACCCACCTGGTTCTCCATGGGCATCGATCTGAAGGATGAGATCGGCGATCAGCTCGAGATCCAGGACACACTCGTCGTCCGATTGCTGGGGGGGGAGGGTGTGGAGGGGGGAGAAGAGAGAGAGAGAGAGACAGTGACGGGGCAGGTAATCCTCGACTTACGACCAGGACCGAGCTCAAAGTTCCCGTTGCTAAGCGAGACACAGGTTACAGGAGTTTTGGTCCAGTTCATCTCCGTCTTGTCTTTAGATCTCTCTATCCTTAGCCGTTTCTCCGTTATCCATCCATCCATCTCTATTGGTCTCCCCCGTCTCTTTATTTCGATCTATCCCTATTTATCTGTTATCTACCCACCTACCTATTCATCCATCCATCCATATCTATTAATCTCCCTGTCTTTATTTCAATCTATCCCTATTTATCCATCCATCCATCCATATCTCCATCTGTCTTTATTTTGATCTCTATATCCCTATCTATTTCTCCATTATCTACCCTTCCTCCATCCATCTCTATCTCCGTGTTTATTTTGATCTCTCTATCCCTCTATTTATCCATTATCTACCCTTCCTCCATCCATCCATTCATATCTATCTCCATCTGTCTTTATTTTGATCTCTCTATCCCTCTATCCATTATCTACCCTTCCTCCATCCATCCATCCATCCATCCATATGTATTTATCTCCATCTGTATTTTGATCTCTCTATCCCTCTATTTATCCATTATCTACCCTTCCTCCATCCATCCATATCTATTTATCTCCATCTCTTTATTTTGATCTCTCTATCNAGGGAGGAAGGAAGGAGGAAGGAAAAGAGGGACGGAGGCAGGAAGGAAGAAAAAGAGGGGAGGGAGGGAGACAGGAAGAAAGGAAGGAAGCAAGGGAGGAAGGAAGGGAAAAAAAGAAAGGAGGGAGGGAGGAATGACCAGAGAGGGAAGGAGGGAGAGAGGAAGGAAAGAGGCAGGGAGGGAGAGAGGAAGGGAGGAAGGAAAAAAAGGAGTGAGGGAGACAGGAAGAAAGGAAGGAAGGAAAAGAGGGACGAAGGAAGAAAAAGAGAGGGAGGGAGGGAGGAAATCAAAGCCCGCAGGTTCATCAAAATGGCCGACTGAGGAATCATGGGAGTTGAAGTCCGCCAGTCAGGAAAGGGCCAAGTTGGAAGACCCCTGAGAGTCTGGATCCAAGCCCGCAGTTTCATCAAAATGGCCGACTGAGGAATTCTGGGAGTTAAAGTCCACCAGTCATAAAAGGGCCAAGTTGGAAGACCCCTTGGCTGAATTAACCGTCATCGGTTAATTCCCCCACCCCAAAGCAAAGCGAGCCTCCACCCCCCCCCGGCAAAACCCGGTTGGATCCACTTCTACGGCCAACCCAACGAGCTTGAGCGGCACGTGGGGGTGTGTGTGGAGACAGAGGGACTCCCACCCACCTGGTTCTCCGTGGGCATCGATCTGAAGGATGAGATCGGCGATCAGCTCGAGATCCAGGACACACTCGTCGTCCGATTGCTGGGGGGGTGTGTGTGGAGGGGGGAGAAGAGAGAGAGAGAGAGAGAGACAGTGACGGGGCAGGTAATCCTCGACTTACGACCAGGACCGAGCTCAAAGTTCCCGCTGCTAAGCGAGACACGGGTTACAGGAGTTTTGGTCCGGTTCATCTCCGTCTTGTCTTTAGATCTCTCTATCCTTAGCCGTTTCTCCGTTATCCATCCATCCATCCATCTCTATTGGTCTCCCCCGTCTCTTTATTTCGATCTATCCCTATTTATCTATTATCTACCCACCTACCTATTCATCCATCCATCCATATCTATTAATCTCCCTGTCTTTATTTCAATCTATCCCTATTTATCCATCCATCCATCCATATCTCCATCTGTCTTTATTTTGATCTCTATATCCCTATCTATTTATCCATTATCTACCCTTCCTCCATCCATCTCTATCTCCGTGTTTATTTTGATCTCTCTATCCCTCTATTTATCCATTATCTACCCTTCCTCCATCCATCCATTCATATCTATTTATCTCCATCTGTCTTTATTTTGATCTCTCTATCCCTCTATCCATTATCTACCCTTCCTCCATCCATCCATCCATCCATATGTATTTATCTCCATCTGTATTTTGATCTCTCTATCCCTCTATTTATCCATTATCTACCCTTCCTCCATCCATCCATATCTATTTATCTCCATCTCTTTATTTTGATCTCTCTATCCCTATCTATTTATCCATTATCTACCCTTCCTCCATCCATCTCTATTTATCTCCATCTGTCTTTATTTTGATCTCTCTATCCCTCTATTTATCCATTATCTACCTATCCATCCATATCTATTTATCTGTCTTTATTTTGATCTATCCCTATTTATCCATTATCTACCTATCCATCCATCCATCCATATCTATTTATCTCCATCTCTTTATTTTGATCTCTCTATCCCTATCTATTTATCCATTATCTACCCTTCCTCCATCCATCTCTATTTATCTCCGTCTTTATTTTGATCTCTCTATCCCTATCTATTTATCCATTATCTACCCATCCATCCATATTTATCTATTTATTTTGATCTATCCCTATTTATCCCTTACCTACCCATCCATCATCTATTTATCTCCATCTCTTTATTTTTATATCCCTATTTATCCATTATCTACCCATCCATCCATATCTCTTTATTTTGATCTCTCTATCCCTATTTATCCATTATCTACCCATCCATCCATCCATCCATCCATCTCTATTTATCTCCATCTGTCTTTATTTTTATCTCTATATCCCTATTTATCCATTATCTACCCATCCATCCATATCTATTTATTTTGATCTATCCCTATTTTTCCCTTATCTACCCATCCATCATTTATTTATCTCCATCTTTTTATTTTTATATCCCCATTTATCCATTATCCATTATCCATCCATCCATATCTATTTATCTCTTTATTTTGATCTCTCTATCCCTATTTATCCATTATCTACCCATCCATCCATCCACCCATATCTCCGTCATTTTTATCTCTATCCCTATTTATCCATTATCTACCATCCATCGATCCATATCTATTTATCTCCATCTGTCTTTATTTTGATCTCTCTATCCCTCTCTATCCATTATCTACCCATCCATCCACCCGCCCATATCTATGTATCTTTCTGTCCATCTTTATTTGTAACTCTCTACCTCTATCTATTTGTCTATTATCTGTCTCCTTCCTTCCTTTCTTCCCTTTTTTTCTTTCTTTCTATCCGGATCAGTCCTGAGCTGTCGGTTGCCCGTTTTCCACGCACCTGGCCACGGGTCCCCCACCCTTCCCCTTCCAGATCGCTCGCGTGCCCCGCTCACCTTGATCTCGTAGTGCCGATGCCGGCCGAGCATGGCCATCATATCCTCCAGGTAGTACTCCTTGACCGGATACATGAAGCCCGGCACTTTGACCACCGGACAGTCGCCAAAGTACTCCGAGAAACGCTGGTTGTCCCCCGTGGCGCTCATCAGAACCAGGCGCAGTTGCCGGTTCTGCTTCTGGATCCCCTTCAGCAGGATCAGCAGGAAGTCGGTGTTGACGTCCCGCTCGTGGACCTCGTCCACGATCACGTGGCTGACCCCCTCCAGCCGGGGGTTGCCCTGCAGCTTCCGCAGCAGGATGCCCACGGTGCAGAAGAGCAAGGCGCCGCCCCGGGCCGGCGGCTTGCTCTCCAGCCGCACCTGGTAGCCCACGTTGCGCCGCAGGCTGGGGCCCAGCTCCTGGGCCACGCGCTGGGCCACCGAGATGGCGCTGATCCGGCGGGGCTGGGTGATCACCACGTTGCACTGGGCGCCGCGCCCTTCCAGCAGGTAGTGTTCCAGCAAGAGCTGAGGGATCCGGGTGGTCTTCCCGCAGCCGGTGTCGCCGGCGATGACCACCACCGGGTGCTGCTCCACGGCCGAGAGGATGGCTTCCTTGTGGGAGTCCACGGGCAGGGAGGGGCTGTCGGGCCACAGGTTGCCCCGCCGTTTCCAGAGGGCCAGCAGGTTCTGGCTGAGGCGCAGCTCTTCCGATTCGGAGAGCGGGAGGTAGGTTTTCCCCGTGATGGCGTCGCTCAGGGCGCCGCTGCTCTCCTTGCTCAGGTTCATCACGTCGTCCGCCAGGCGCGGCCGGGACTCCCGGGAGTCGACGGGATACTGCGGAAAGCGGACAAGAGGGCTTTGGGGAGGGATCCGCTTGCAACGTGCCAGCCATCCCCCCACGCCCAACGGGCCGGAAGAGAGAGTCAATACACCGGAGGGCTACGGGGTTGTTTGTCCCGTCTCTGAGACAGGTTAGTCGTCGACTTACGAGCGTTCGGTTAGTGATTGTTTGAAGTGACAACCGTGCCTCACGGCCGTTGCCGCACCCCCACAATCAAGCGACTCGTTTGTGTGTGTGTGTGGATAGAGGTAGGTGGTGCTCGACTTACAATGATGGTTCGTTTAGTGACCATTTGAAGCGACAACGGTGCTGAAAAGGCCTCACGACCGTTGCAGCATCCCCACAGTTGGGTGGCTTGTGTGTGTGTGTGTGTGTGTGTGTTTGTTTAGCGACAGTTCGAAGTTAGAAGGCCCTGGAAAAAGGGACTGGAAACCGTTTTTCACTCTTACGACCGGTGTAGCATCTCCATTCAGGTGATGTGTGTTTTTGTTTGTTTGTGTTTGTGTGTGTGTGTGTGTGTATACATACATACATTACATACACACACACATATCCACACACGTGAACATATATATATAACACATATCCACACATGTACATATCCACACTACATATCCACACATGTACATATATACACTCACTACACACATATACATATACACACACTACACACACATATACTACACATACACACATATATACACACATGAACACACATATATACACATATGAACATACGCACACTACACATATACAAACATACATATATACACACTGCAGACATATACACACATGTACACATATATATACACTACACACAAGATCATACATATATACACTACACATATATAATAATAATAATAGTAAAGTTGGAAGGGACCTTGAAGGTCATCTAGTCCAACCCCCTGCTCAGGCAGGAAACCCTACACCATTTCGGACAAATGGCTGTCCAGTCTCTTCTTAAAAACTTCCAGTGTTGGAGCATTCACCGCTTCTGGAGGCAGGTAGTTCCACTGGTTAATTGTTCTCACTGTCAGGAAGTTTCTCCTTAGTTCTAGGTTGCTTCTCTCCTTGATCGGTTTCCACCCGTTGCTTCTTGTCCTGCCTTCAGGCGCTTTGGAGAATAGCTTGACTCCCTCTTCTTTGGGGCAGCCCCTGAGATATTGGGACACTGCTATCCTGTCCCCCCTCGTCCTTCTCTTCATTAAACTAGACATACCCAATTCCAGCAGCCGTTCCTTATATGTTTTAGCCTCCAGTCCCCTAATCATCTTTGTTGCTCTTCTCTGCACCCTTTCTAGAGTCTCAGCATCTTTTTTACATCGCGGTGACCAAAACTGGATGCAGCATTCCAAGTGTGGCCTTACCAAGGCATTGTAAAGTGGTATTAATACTTCACGTGATCTTGATTCTATCCCTCTGTTAATGCAGCCTAGCACTGTGTTGGCCTTTTGGGCAGCTGCAGCACACGGCTGGCTCCTATTTAAGTGATTGTCCACTAGGACTCCGAGGTCCCTCTCACAGTTACTACTATTGAGCAAGGTGCCACCTATGCTGTACTTGTGCAATTGGTTTTTCTTGCCTAAATGTAGAACCTTGCTTTTTTCACCCTTGAATTTCATTTTGTTAGATAGCGCCCAGTGTTCAAGTCTGTCCAGATCCTTCTGTATCTTAAGCCTGTCTTCTGGAGGGTTGGCTATTCCTGCCAGCTTGGTGTCGTATACACATGATCATACATATGTACACACTACACACATGAACATACATATATACATACACTACACACATATACACACCAACATACATATATACACACTGCAGACATATACACACATGTACATATATATATACACTACACACAAGAACATACATATATACACTACACACATATATACACATGAACATACATATATACACACTACACACATGTACATATATACACACACTACACACATGAACATACATATATACACATGAACATACACACTACACAAACATGAACATACATACACTGCACACATGAACATACAAATATACACTAAACACATATACGCACATGAACATACACACACTACACATATACACACACATGAACACATACACACATGAACATATATACACGCACTACACACACGCACATATATGTGTTCCTCACAACAGTTCCTTCAGTGACCATTTGAAGTTACAATAGCGCTGGAAAAAGGGACTTAAGTGTGTTTTTCACCCTTATTACCACTGTGGCATCCCCAGTCAGGTGACATGTGTGTTTGTGTGTAAATATATCTAGGTAGTCCTCAACTTATGACAGTTGGTTTAGAGAGTGTTCGAAATTACAACGGTGTTGAAAAAAATGGGACTAATTACTTGTGTCTGTGTCTATGTGTGTAGATACATATAGGTAATCCTTGACATACAACGATTCATTTAGTGACTCTGATTGTGTGTGTGTAACGACCGGGACAAAAAAGGTCATCAAACGGGGCACAGCTCAGTTAACGACTGTCTCACTTAGCAGCAAAAACTTTGGGTTCAATTATGGTCGTTAAGTCAAGGACTTACAACAGACCCAGGCTTATAACAGTCCATTTAGAGACCGTTTCAGCTCGTCCCGGACTTGTAACAGTCCGTTTAGTGACTTAAGTTACAACGGCACCGAAAAAAGGGACTTACGACTGTTCTTCACACTTAACGACCGTCGCAACCTCACCCAAGCTGGATTCGCTTAACGACCGTTGTGATGGACATCACAACCACAGGGGTCCACTTAACAGCTGGGGCGGGGGGGGCGAGCTGTCATAAAACGGGGCCAAAACTCACGTCAGAAACGTTACCCCTTCGCAATTGTTTCGGGGCTCCGCGGCGCCTCGGCTGGCGGGCCTCGGCGCTCCGCCCGACTTACGTGGTTCAGGTAGTTCTCGATCTTGCGCAACGTGGCCTCGGGGACTTTGATGTGGCAGGGCTTCCGCTGGTTCTCGCCCAGCTCCCGCAAGGAAGTCATGTTGTACATGGCGTGACTCAACGGATTGTTGTTCTTGTCCACTAAGCCGAGACTCTGGAGGGAGGGAGGGAGGGAGGGAGAGAAGCATGGTGAGACCGGGAACCCACGGGGAAATGGTAACATTCTGCGATTTGAGGTAATATCACGGTCAATTTGGAATATCCTGGAATATTCTGGAATGTTCTATCATTCGGTAATATTCTGCGATTTGGTAATCGGTAATTCAGGCTAGCAGCCGGAAGGGCTGGGAGATGGGAGTGCCCAGGAGTCCATGGGGAGATATTTATGTCATTTCCCGGTAAATCGATAATATCGCGCACTTCCATAATATCCTGAAATTCTGTAATTCCGCAATATTCGGTATTATCCTGTAATTCTATAATATCCTGTAATTCTGTAATATTCTGTAACTCGGTAAAATTCTGTCATTCGGTAATATCCTGAAATTCTGCAATTCCATAATATTCGGTAATATCCTGTAATTTTGTAATATTCTGTAATATCCTGCAATTCCATATTTGGTAATATCCTGTAATTCTATAATATTCGGTAACTTGGTAAAATTCTGTAATATTTGGTAATATCCTGTAAGTTTGTAATATTCTGTAATATCCTGCAATTCTATAATATTTGGTAATATCCTGTAATTCTGTAATATTCTGTAATATTCTGCAGTTCTGTAATATCCTGTAAAATTCTGTTAACTGTAAAATTCTGTCATATTCTGTAATTCTGTAAAATTCTGTAATATTTCGTAATGTCCTCTAATATTCTGTAATATTCTGTAATTCTATAATATTTTGTATTATAGAGATATATATCTAAATAGATACACATATATCTAATTATAGATAGGAAGATATCTAAATATAGATAGATAATAGATTAGATAGGATATCTAAATAGAGATACTATATATCTAATTAAAAATTATCTAAATATATGTAAATATCTAAATAGATAAATAGAAAGATATCTAATTAGATGTATATCTAAATATAGATTAGATAAATATCTAAATATAGATTAGATAAATATCTAGAGATAGATATATAAATAGATATAGATATCTAATGATAGATCTAAATATATATCTAAATACAGATGGATTGGATTAGATATAGATAATAATAGTAGTAGTAGTAGTAGTAATAAAGTTGGAAGGGACCTTGGAGGTCATCTAGTCCAACCTCCTAAATAGATATAGATATCTTAGATAGATGATATCTAAGTAGATATATTGCTAGTTTGACAGATCGATAATACACACACACACACACACAGTGTACATATACATATATATACATATATTTGTATATATGTACGTGTCTGTCTATACTGTTTTATTTAAACTAAATTTGTATACAGTAATTGTAGATAGATATCTAAATATAGATTAAATAGAGTTAGATAGATGATAGGATATCTAAATAGAGATACTATATATCTTCTAGATATCTAATTATAAAGATGTATATAAATATCTAGAGATAGATATATCTAAATAGATAAAAAGATATATCTAATTAGATGTATATCTAAATATAGATTAGATTAATATCTAGAGATAGATATATGATAAAGACATCTAATGATAGATCTAAATATATATCTGAATACAGATGGATTAGATAAGATTTAGATATCTAAATATACATATCTAAATATAGATATCTTATAGATATATCTAACTACAATTACATAGATATCTATATATATATATATATCTAGTTTGACAGAGCGATAATACACATATATATATACAGTATCTAAATATACAGATATTGCTAAATATAGACACGTACAGATATACGTATACAAATGTAAATGTATATATGTACTTGACTGTCTATATATGGTAACGTTTTATTGAAACTAAATTTGTCTATCAGTGATCACATGACTTCTGTCGATGTCTGACGCTAAATTAAAATCAAATGAACAAAAAAATAAAATGAAAAATCGCCACGTTCCCACCATCACAGGCTAAATAAAACTCAGCCACCGCAGGGCCCCGCGGAACGCTGTTCACGCGCTGCGGCTCCTGTCTCGCCACTCACCTTCAACTTCTGGCAGGCCAGCGCCGCGGCCTTGTTCTCCGCTTCCACTTTGCGACGGCCCTTGGCCGCGAAGGTCATGGGGCAGGGCCAGCGGAGGGTCAGTTTGCAGATCTTGGTCTTCGTGCCGACGGTCCGGAACTGCATGTATTCCTGTCGGAACGACAAAACGTCGGGAAGAGACGCTTTAACGTCCTCCGATTTTCGCCGAAAGCGATGTACACACACCTACACACACACACCTGGTTCAGATGGCAACTCACCTTGACGGTGGAGGAGGAGGTGGCGATCTGGATGACCTGGGCGAGGAGGTTTTTCGGGAGGGGAAACTGAGTCAGGGCGCGCAGGGCGGTGTTGTCATCCGTCATCTCCATCGAGAGTCCATCCCTGTACGGAGAAAAGACGAGGCAACCGCTCGGTCGTATCTCGGGGATTCGGTCCCCCTGCAAAGGGTCTGTTGCTGCCATAAGAGGGCGGTGCCTAGGCTTTAGGACCGTGAGCGTGGAGGGAGTCCTCGACTTACGACCGTTTGTTTAGCGAGTGTCCGAATCGGTGAGAAAAAGTGCCATACGACAGGTTTTTCGCTCTCGAGCGGTGGACATTGGGGACTGAGCTGTGGTCGTCTAAGTAGAGGACTAGCCGTAGTTCAATCGGCTTTGATGCTTAGGGATTGCCGAAGGGCCGCACAACCATTAACAATTGGGGGCACTCGCTTAAGGACGGCCACCATTGTTAAAACCAACTAGCGGTCAGATCAGCACCTGCATCCATGAGCGTCCTGCTTTATGACGGAAATTCCAGCCTCTGTTATGGTTGGGTTAGGGTCTCTCCTGCAAGTGACCTAACGTAGTCGCACGCCGAAGAACACCCCAACTTGCAAGCCCTACAGGTTAGTCCTCGGCTTACAACCGCAACCGAGCCCAGCTGCTAAGCGAGACATTTTTTTGTGAAGCGAGTTCGGCTCCATTTTACGACCTTCCTTGCCAATGGCGTTAAGTGAATCCCTGCAGTTAATTGAAGTCACATCGTTGGGAAGCGAAATCTGGCTCCCCCCCATTGACTCTGATCGTCCCGAAGGTTGCCAAACGGGATCATGGGACGCTCCCCGCCAGAACGCTGCGACCGTCATAAGTACAAGTCATTTGCCAAGCGTCGGAATTTTGATCATCGGACTGAGGGGATGCCAAGTCACTTTTTTCAGTGTCGGTGTAATTTCGGTCACTGAATGTGTCTAAGTCACTTTTTCCAGTTTCGTCGTTGCTTCGGTCACTAAATGAACCGTTGTAAGTCCAGGACTTGACCTTGTCAAGATGGAAGCCAGACCCTCCCAAGAGAGACCCTCACCCAGCCACCCAAGCCCAAGGCGTACCGACGTCGTACCTCAGGTCCCTGGGCGGCGTCTGGGCTCCCGGTCGCGACACGGAGATGCCGTTATGCACCTCAATGGCGTCCTCTTCCAGTTCCCCCTCCTCCAGCTCCCCCTCCTCCAGCTCCCCCTCCTCCAATTCCTCATTTCGGATGGGTTTGGGGAGAGGGGGGCTGTGCTCCAGGGGCTGCATGGGGTCCTCGGGCTCCATCCGCCGCCAGCAGGTCGAGAGGTCAGCCAGGGATGGCCCCGATTTCGACCGCCAGTGGCTTTCGGAGAACCACTTCCGGTCGGCGGCGCAGCCCAGCTGCTCGGCGAGCAGGCGGTACTTCGCCGCGTCGAAGAGCTCGTTGCGGGGTCCCAACAAGCCCCAACCCTGGAGAAGGGAGAGAGAGAGAGAGAGAGAGAAAGTGAGAAGGAAGGAGAAAAAGCTTCGGAGGGGATACATGGAGGACGAGTGCGGGAGAGCTCTGGCGCTCTCAGAGGTTGGTGGTTTTCGGGCAGACGTCTCGTAGCCAACCTAGGGAACGTCATCAGGGCTAGAAGGGAGGAGGGTTTGTGAGGAAGAGGAGGCAGAGGAAAAGGAGGAGGGAACATCATCAGTGCTAGAAGGGAGGGGGTTTGTGAGGAGGAGGAGGATTGTGGGGTCCTTGCTCTCCATTGCTAAGTGTTGTAACCATCCCTGCAGCATTTTAAGTCCCGCTAAGTGAAAATTGTGACCGGGCGACGAAAAGGGTGCAAAACCCGCACTGAAAGCTGCACCTTGAACAGCTGGCAAGCGGCCGCTGCGGCCTGTCTCTCCGCGTCGATCTTCTTGGCCCCATAGCCTTCCACTTCGACATTCTTGGGCCACTTGATGAGCAGCGTGACTTTCTGTAGAGAGAAAGAGAGCCAGCCTGAAGCGTTCGTCCTCGATTTACGACTGTAGAAGGCCCCCCCCCGTTGCAGTCGTTGTCGTGACAGAAAATGGTCAAACTACCGTTCGTCCTCAACTATAAAAGAGTCTCCCCGCTGCAGTCGTTAAGTCGTCAAAGAAAATAGTCAAAGTACCTTTCGTCCTCAACGTACGACTGTAAAAGAGCCTCCCCACTGCAGTCGTTAAGCCATGACACAAAGCGGTCAAGCAAACAAACCACAGCGACTCCTCGACATAAGACTACTACTGATCCCCACATTTCGCGGCTATGGGACAAATTTGTTCAGTCAGTTTTGCCCCGACTTACAACCTTTCTCACCACAATTGTTAAACGAATCACCACATTTCTTAAGCGAGTCCTACAGTTGTTAAGTGAATCTGTCTCCCTCCCGTTGACTTTGCTCGTCGGAAGGTCACAAAAAAGGATCACGGGACCCCGGAGACTCTGCGACCGTTGTAAATACGAGCCAGTTGCAATTTTGATCATGGTCGTTAAAAGTGAAAAATGGTCCTAAGTCACTTTTTTCCAGCGCTGCCGTAACTTTGGTGACTAAACGAACTGTCGTAAGTCGAGGACTACCCGTACTGCTGCATTCAGAATGTGGAATATTTACCTTTTTCCGCGGACCGTTGGTATGGATGTAGATTAACTTGTCCCTCGCATGGGAGATACCGAGAGCCCGACCGATGACGCTGTTGAGAAGGTTTTTCGGCTGCGGGAATTCCTTCAGCAAATCTCTTGTCTCTGCAATGAAACAGGACAAAACGGAGGGTGCTGTTGCGGTCGCCAAAATGTTGCTTTCCAAATGTACCGCGCAATGTGTATATACGGGACGGCGATGCCTGGCCTTTAGTTAAAACCAGCTGCAAAAGCTCAGGATGTGAGACGTTAAGTGAGGCTAAACTTAAGTTAGGGGGTCCTGGGTGCCCCCCTGAGATTTTAGTGGTTTTGTCGCAGACGTTTCGTGACCCAACTAGGAAACGTCATTAGTGGTAGAAGGGAGTGGGGTGTGTGGAGAGGAGGAAAAATGGGAGGAGGAGGAGAAGAGGAGGGGTCCTTGGTGCTCTGAGGTTGGGGGTTGATGTTTTGTGACCCAACTAGGGAACAACCTCAGTGGTAGAAGGGAGTAGGGTGTGTGGAGGGGGAGGAGAGGGAAAAGTAGGGGTTCCTTGGTGCTCTCTGAGGTTTGGTAGTTTTCTTACAGATGTTTCGTGACCCAACAGTTCCTCCCCCAATCCTGGCACAAAGGGGGGGTCAGCACCCCCACTTACCTGTGGATACATTCCCTCCCCGATCCTATGACATAATGCCCCCCTCAATGCTGGCCCAGGGGGGCATCAGACCCCTCACTTATCCTGGGGCACATCTCCCCAATCTATTTCCCCAGGACATAATGCCCCCCAATCCTGGCCCAAGGTGGGCAGGTGACCCCCTATTTACCCCAGGACACAATGCCCCTCAATGGTGGCTCAAAAGTGGGGGATCAGACCCCCACTTACCCTAGGGCAATTCCCCCCCAATCCTGGCCCAAAGGGAGGGTATCAGACCCCCACCCACCCGTCGGTATATTTCCTTCCCCCCCGATCCATTTACCCTTGGGCACAGGCACCCCAAATCCTGGTCCGAAGGAGGGGCATGAGACACCCCCCAACCCCAATCCTGGCTTGAAGGGAGCACCCCACTTACCCTGGGGCACATTCAGCCATCCTGGCCCAAAGGGGGGGCATAAGACCCCCACCCACTTGCCCTGGGGCTTATTTCCCCCCCGATCCAGGCGATGAGACCCCCCACTTACACCAGGACATAATGCTCTCCCAATCTGGCCTAAAGGGGGAGGTGGGATCCCCCACTTACCTCGGGGCACAATGTCCCTCGAATCTTGGCCGAAAGGGGGGGTCATGAGACCCCTACTCACTTACCCTGGGGTACATTTCCCCCCCCAATTCTGGCCCAAATGAAGGAATCAGACCCCCACCCACTTATCCCGGGGAAATCTCCCCTGATCCTGGCTCAAAGGGGGGCATGAGATCCCCCACCCACCCACTTACCCTAGGGCACATTTCTGCCACCAATCTTGGCCCAAAGGGGGGGCCATGAGACCCCCACTCACTTAGCCCGGGGTACATTTTTTACCCGGATTCTGGCCCAAAGGGGGGCATCAGACCCCCACCCATTTACCCTGGGGTAAATTGCCCCCCAAATCCTGGGCCAAGGGGGGCATCAGACTCCCCCCACCCACTTACCCCGGGGGGGGGATTCCTCCAATCCTGGCCCAAAGGGAAGGCATCAGACCCCCACCCACTTACCCCGGGGGAAATTCTCCCCCCCATCCTGGCCCAAAGGGTGGGGGCAGGAGACCCCCACCCACTTACCCCGGGTGGGGAATTCCTCCCCCGATCCTGGCCCAAAGGGGGGGGCATGAGACCCCCACCCACTTACCCCGGGGGGGGGAAATTCTCCCCCCCGGATCGTGGCCCAAAAGGGGGGGCATGAGACCCCCACCCATTTAACCCGGGGGGGGAATTCCTCCCCCCGATCCTGGCCCAAAGGGGGGGCATCGGACTCCCACCCATACCCCGGGGGGGGGAATTCCTCCAATCCTGGCCCAAAGGGGGGGCCCACTTACCCCCCGGGGGGAATTCCTCCCCCCCCCGATCCTGGCCCAAAGGGGGGGCAGGAGACCCCCCACCCACTTACCCCGGGGCAGCCGGGGGGGCGAGAGCCGCAGGCAGGCGCCGTCCTCGCCGTCTCCTCGGTCGCCGGTCCCCGGCTCGCCCTCCCGGCCCATTTCCACTGCCGCCTCCTCCGTCCCGGCCACCCGGCTGTAGCAGCGGGACCGCCACGGGCCCATCAGCCCCGCGAAGGAGCCGCCGCCGCCGCCGCCGCGCAGGAAGGCCTGCAGGAGCCGGGAAGGAACCGCCATGCGGAGCGCAGGAGAACCGGGGCAGAGAGAGCGCGCGGCCAGAGCGTCCGCGGCGGCGGAGGGGGGGGGAGAGGGAGAACGGCCCCGCGCGGCGCCCGGAGGAACAGCGGGGATGGAGAGCAGGGCCAGAGCGTCTACGGACGAGGGGGACGAGGGGGAGCGTCCCCGCGCGGCGCCTGGAGGAACGGGGGGGCAGAGAGAGCGCGCGGCCAGAGCGTCTACGGATGAGGGAGACGGGGAGCGTCCCCGC